TCTACAATGGAATGGTTCACAAATAAACATATCCAGGTGTTAGAATGGCCAAGTCAAAGTCCAGACCTGAATCCAATCGTGAATCTGTGGAAAGAACTGAAAACTGCTGTTCACAAACGCTCTCTATCCAACCTCACTGAGCTCGAGCTGTTTTGCAAGGCGGAATGGGCAAAAATTTCAGTCTCTTGATGTGCAAAACTGATAGAGACATACCCCAAGTGACTTACAGCTGTAATCGCAGCAAAAGGTGGCGCTACAAAGTATTAACTTAAGGGGGCTGAATAATTTTGCACGCCCAATTTTTCAGTTTTTTATTTGTTAAAAAAGTTTGAAATATCCAATAAATTTCGTTCCACTTCATGATTGTGTCCCACTTGTTGCTGATTCTTCACAAAAAATTACAGTTTTATATCTTTATGTTTGAAGCCTGAAATGTGGCAAAAGGTCGCAAAGTTCAAGGGGGCCGAATACTTTCGCAAGGCACTGTATGTTGGAGAACTGGTTAAAAATAAAAGATTGAAAGATGCAGACATTAAAAGGTCCAGAGAGAGAGAGACAAAGTTCCATCTGGACAGCTGTCTCAGCATGTTCCAGTTACAACAGCTTTGAAGCAGAGTCCAGCTACACAGTGCTTTTGGCCCATCCTGAGAACAGGAGAACACAAGAGAGAGAGATCTGAAAGAGGGAAATCTGGGGGTGGTTATGGAGGGTGAAAGGGTGCGTACTTCATATGAAAGTAGGGAAGACAAAGGCTGAGAATGAGTGAGGAGAGGGCATGAACTGGGCAGAAAGTGAGGACATTGAAACACGAGAGGTTGCAGAGAGGAGAAATGAGAGCCCTCATTGGAAACAATCATTCAACTCCACTGAGCTGAGTTAACAAGCAGGGGCTCGTGCCTGCAAGTCCAGTTCCTGTCCTAATAATTCACTACAAGCACACACTCAAACACACACAGAGACAAAAGCTGTAAGTCCAGAGTGCCCTTCAGTTACTCACACGAAAACTTGGAAATCCACAACGTATTCCAACCTGTTGCACACTGCACTTACCACTCCTCACCAAAGAAGAAAAACTGGCCTGTCCATGTAGATTTTTCATGCTTCGAAATCAGAGCATGTACAAAAGTCAGAAACATCGGCTAAAAGTGTCAACATACTCGAGAGAATCTCCCCTTCAGCATGCTACATTTTTATTAATATTGGTTGTTAGTTAAGCTGCATTAATAAGCATGTTTATTTTTTAGTTTGTTGCTGTTATATTCTTTTTGGTGGTGTTGCTTATAACAATGTGTCATATTTTAAAAAGTGACAGTGTTTTGTTTGTAAAATCTTAACCTGCAAATTAATAACTAGCTGTCAAATGCATGTAAAAACATGATTTCTCAATTATTTAAATAAGAAAGCTTTAAAAAGCTGCATAGAGTGTACAGTATGTACTCAAGTAAAGAAAAAGTCCCTTAAATTCCACTTGAAGAACTTGGAGAACATTTTGGGAAATGCACTTCTTCACTTTCTTGCTGAGAGTTAGATGAGAAGATCAGCAGTTAGGCTATAGCAGTAATCAGTTATCTTAGATTAGCATAAAAACTTGAAAAGGGGAGAATGAATGAGCAAATGTTAGTACATTAGTAAATATATTTTATTCATTTATAGTTCTTTTTTTATAATTCCTGGATTAAAACACATCAGGTCTCAGGTCAACTTGACTACCTCTCATCTCAGCCACAAAAACGCTCTCACAGTGTGAAACCAGCTCTGTAACAGAGCCGGTATTGTACTGTGGTGTTGTGAGCTACCTCACATACCTCAGGTTTGGTGGCTTAATACAGCCATAAGAATGAGATAGAGAAGGCAGTCACACTTTAATGCATGCACATATACAAAAGTCAAAGGTGAGGTTAGCAGACCCACCTTATGGGTGAGTCCTCTTTTCCTGATTCGTCGCCCATCGCTTCCTATGGACAGGACCAACAGGGACAGCAGCAGCAGCACAAAGCCTGGCATGATTTTTGTCATGCTCCTCGACTCCAAACTTTGTCTCTCTCCCTTCGCCTCTCAGATGTATCCCTTCTTCCTCTCCTTATTCTGAAGTTTATCTTGTATTTGATTCAAAGTCCTCTGTTGCAATTCTCATGTGCTCATGTGCAGCCAGAGATTACACAAGCCCGTCCAACTGGCCTTCCTTTATTTCCTCCTGAGGAAAAGTGCAGAATAACAGAAAACAGGGAAGGAAAGGGAGAGATGGAATGAATGGAGGCAATATAGGAAAGAAATGAAAAAAGGAGAGTAGTTAGGAGAGGAAAAGGGGAAGGAAGAAACAGCCGCTGTCTGTACATCAGTTGTTTAGAGCTGAAAGTGTCTGCTGGCACAACGTGCGCACATGTCTCTCAGAGAGAGGAGGGGAGGTGAATTGGGGG